GCATTTCTTTTGTCCAAAGGTATAGCAGGAAGTCATCCAGTATATATGAAAACAAATCCGAGACATCAAATGTAGAAGCATCTAACAATAAAAACAGGAATTCCAGTCCCAGCTCCAGACAAAAGAGAGGTAGGAATTCTGAGAGATTTGTGCTTCCAAAGGTTTATACTTCTTTTTTTTGTACACTTATTTCTGGCGTTGGATGAGTATATTTAAATGTATGTTGTTTAAAACTAACGTTGAAAAACCAATGCTGCAAAGCTGAATGACTGTACCATGAAACTTCCTGAACACCAAAAAGCATTGCCAGTGTAGGAATTTTTAGAGTTTGAGTTTTGATGCATTACAGTGCTCTTTATACAATTGTGTGTTTTGAAAATATAATTTGGGGGGCAATAAGGTGCATATTTTAACCCTTATATCCTGGCTAAGTTGGTTTCTAGCCATATTTAATTTTAAGATTGTCTATGGACTTTGCTAGCTAATTTCCTTGCTTTATGTCAGAGATTCTTTTCCCCTCTCTATGTACAGGTTCCACTTCAGTGTAAATAAACACATGTGGTCACAGAAAATCCCTCCATTATTTGAGGGCATAAATACAACAGATATATTTTGTGCAATGTAGGTTAAAATGAACACTGAAGCAAAACTGGATTTCATCTGGCAGTAGCAGAAACAGAAAATCTTTCAACATCACTTTCTCTTTTAGGTAGAATTTTTAAATGTTGAAGACTTTTAAAATAGTATTTAAAAAAATTAATTAATTGGAAGGTCTTAAGAGATGAGTGTCCAAACCAGCCTTAAAATCACAGCAGGGCTGTGATTAAAACAGAGATGGTAAAAAAAAAGTGGAATGTTTTTTCTTTGAAAAATGGGTTGTTCACCAACGTATTTTTCCTTGAAATACATTCTCATTCTGGGCAGAAAGTTATGGATTATTCATTTTTAAAATCCAGTGTTAAAAACTTGTTTCCGTATAAATGTCTTTTTTTTTTTCCTTTTTTTAAAGATGAACTTTTTAAAAACTAAGTTACTAAGCAGCTTTTTCACTTGAAATCCCTGAACCTCCTTAAAAAAAATTCCCAGCACAATTCCTGATGTTTCCTAACCGCTTGAGCTTACAGAAGAGTGTGGGAGGTGGGATCACCCTATGTGCTGATTTTCATCCCTGCTTCTGTTTTCCCACGAGCAGCTCCCCAGGGGCTGGCGCTGCGATTCCCGCCCGCTCCGCCGGGATCCCGCTCGTCTCCCGGGATGCGGCGGCTCCTTCGCTGGGACGCGGGTTGTGCCCGCGCATCCCGGGCGGGCACCGCCGGGCCAGCGGGACAGCCCCGGGTCCTGCTGCCGGGCCGGGCCGTGCCGGGCTGCAGGAGCCCGCTGCTCTGCCAGAGCTGCCTCTTTCGTGCCACCTACTGACCGAAATCCTCCCCAAATCGCTGCTGTTGCTGTGAACGCAGATTGTTTGAAAATACCGTTTCGTTTCTATAGAGCAGGGGCAGGCGCTGCTGGCGAGCTAGTTCGGTTCCTGTGTTCGTACGGATAAGTGCCTGTGTTTGAGTCACCTACTTTTGAACCAGTGTTTGTTGTGGACCCGATGGGTGGATTCACCGACTTGAAACTGAAATCTTGAAGTGTCCTACAGGAACTTCTGGGGACCACCTAGGGCAGGGCAGCTAAAGCAGGGTCAGCTGGAGCAGGCTCACCAGGGCCGTGCCCAGCTGGGTCCTGAATTAGCTCCAGGGGCAGTGACTCCACAGCTGCCTTGGGGACACAGTCCCAGCCTTTAAACACCTTCACAGTAAAAAAAAGTTTTTTCCTGTTTTTAAATGGAATTTCCTGTATTTCCATTTGTGCTCATTGCCCCTCTCATCCTGACCCTGGGCTCCACTGTAAAGCATCTGGCTTCATCTTTACTTAATAAGATCCCCTTGAGCCTTTTCTTCTCCAGGCTGATGAATCCCAGGCTCTCTCACTTTCTCCTCATGTCAGCCACTGCAATCCCTTCATCATCTTCATGGTCTTTCACTATAGTCACTCAAATATGTCCATGTCTCTCTTGCACTGGGGAGCCCAGGAGAGGACACAGCACTCCAGGTGTGACACTTGTGCTGAGTAGGGAGGAAGCATCACCACCCTGGACCTGCTGGCAAGGCCCTGCCTAATACAGCCCATAATACTGTTGGTTGTCTTTGCCACACGTGTACATTGCAGGCTCATGTTCAGCTGCTTGCCCATCAGGATCCAGTCTTTATTATGTTTGGAAAAGGTTTCCAGGATTCTTGGGTATACCTGCAGAATGCAGGAATTGGTTTGAAATAACTCAGGTGGAGACAAGATGTCATTAGAGACCAGTGTTTAATGCTGGCCAGTGCTGGGAAGGTGTGGGGACTGGTGGAATCCTAAGGGTCCCTCCATGAAGTGGTATAACTGCATAGCTGAAGAACTAGCTTATACACCTTCCCCATATACACGTGCACTGCTTTACTTGTTGCATGACTCTGTGGTAATTAAATACTATGGATTTTCTTGCTCTATACAAAGTAAATATTTTATATACCAATTTCCGGGTTCTTTATGAGCTGCAGTATCTCCCTTGTGTTGGGAGCAGTGGGAGGCAGGGAATGGCTCTTGGGCCAACACAGGCAGTTTGAAAGCCAGAAATGTTTCCCAGTGTATCTGTGTGCAGCCCAACAGCTGAAACTGCTGCTCAGGAGCAGTTCCTCACCAGATGCACCTGCTTTTCCCAAAGCTGTCAGCAGCTGAACCACACCAACGTAATACTTCTGTACTGCTAACACCTGTTCATCTCACACCCACCTATGCATACAGGCACCTTGGACCCTGGGTTATCTTTGCTGCAAATCAGGAAGTGATGGGATGCACTTTCCTTTGGAAGAACAGCCTGTCTGTCTGTTGCTTGTCTGTCAAGTGTGGATTCACTGTCTCTTCATGTTCTCTTTATACTTCTGCTCTTCATTTGTGGCTCTAATGATTTTCACTTGGCAGTGTATGAAAACAAGAGGAAAAAGGTAGTGGCTAAATCATAAGGCACAGAACCAGGTGGCCAACACATGGCTTTTCTCCTGCTCCTTTGCCATAAAACTTCTCTGTGCTACTTACCCATACAAAGAAAGAGGCAGATGCAGAATTTGGCAGGCAAGGAGTTTGGTCTAGGTCCACCTCTTTTCTGCAATGCAAGTAACTGAGTAGCTTTCAAAGCCAGAATCTCAGGACCTAGATCAATCTGGGACTTAACTCTATAAAGGCAGCATGGCTGGCTTACCCATGTAGGAGCCTGGCAAGTAAGCTTTGCTGGCATGGCACTCCTTGCATCCCAGCAAATCATGGCATCAAATGCATGACCATATGCCGGCTTTGCAGGCTTTAGAAAGACTTCATCAGGTAAGGCTGAGTGTATCAACCACAGGACTGATGATGGCAGACTCTGGATAGCAGAAGTGGGACTGCTCACAACACTTGCTGTCTGCACATCTTGCACTGCAAGGCTTCTTCTCTTATTTCTCCCTGCAGCCTTCCTGTTCCAACCACAATGATGATTTTTTTTTTTTTTTTTTTTTTTTTTTTTTTTTTTTTTTTTTTTTTTTTTTTTTTTTTTAAAAGTAAAAGGCACTAGATCCTTTTCAATGAGCTTGCTGCTAAACTGTATTTTCTTTGGATGAGAGCTATATCCCTTCACATGGTTTTGTTTTGGTTTTTGTTATTTCCATTAAAACTCAGTGAGCCAAACTCAACGCTGGGGCTCAGCTGGTTTGACCACCCTGACCATATGCCACCTTTCTCATTGATTAGCTCTTGCTGAGGCTTGAACTGAATCAAATTTATTTGTTTATTTCTTTTTAGTTGTCATCCAGTGCTAACCTTTCCTTTCCCTTAAGCTGAACAGCTGACCCTTCCTTCCTTATTTCTCTTCCCTCTCCCTCTCTCTCCTAGTTGATGCTTCCACCAGCCTTAACCTTGAGCGCACAGCGCTTTCTAGAAAGCGATTCACATTGCAAGGTCTTTCCAACCGCAGAGCTCCACCCAAAGGTAAAATCACACCATGCAGCATTTGGTCTCTGGCCATCTGTCTCCTACACTCCCACAATAGTCTCTCCATCCCATAGTGCCATCCATCACTGTTCCCTAAAGTGCTGCTGCATCTCACCAAAAAGCTCCTGTCTGATGCACACATGTGGCTCCTCTTCTCAAAGAAGCTGTTACCAAAAATTGCTACCACAGCAGAGCTGGCAAGGCAACCTTTGAGGTGACTGGTTGGGACTTTCACTGGTGCATAGTGCAAATAACATTCATTTCTAGTTTATTCAAGGGCCAAAATGTGAACTTGTTTTAAACCACCAGCCTAACTTATTTCAGGGAGGAATATAATCTCTGTGTTGTGCTACACAAGGATTTCATGTGTTAAATTGTTCACTGGTTGGATCTCTTTGTTTTTTTCAAATGCTACTTGACCATGGCCAGGTGGTTACTCTGGGGAACTGGGATTCAGAAGATCTGGGGCTTACTGCCAGTTTACTTAACTGTTATGAGACTTTGTAAAATAGTGTGTTCTGAGTCTTTGTGCATAAATGTTTAGAAGACACTTAGTATCCACAAGTAGAGATCACTACATGTTCCTGTAGTAGCTGTTTCAGGAAGAGACTTCAGAGGAAAAAAAATAGATGTGAATAGAATTCAATTGAATTACTATTTATAATAATACTCTGAAAATATAATGTAATTACTCTATTGTTATTTACATTCCTTCTGTGAGACAAAGCATCAGTGTGCAGTGCTAGAGAGGGTGAGCATCAAAGAAGGAAGAAGCAAAATGAAAGAATAAAAAGAGGGAAGCATTATCAAGTAGATGAGAACACAGCAGGAGGCAGCGCAGCTGTAAGACACTGGCTTCAAGTTAAGGCTACTCTTGGTAATAAGATTCAAGATGGACAAATCAGTTCAATGTTCAGAATACAAAAAAGGGAGTGCTTTCCAGATCCTGTGACTTGGGGAAATGGATTACAAAATACAGATTTCAGAAATGCAGGAAAATGCTGAATTTTGGGCTAGTTTGGATCTGCAGTTCTGGTTTGGGCCTCTTTTGCTGTTTTATGTGAAATTTTTTTGTCATATGAAATGTCTTGCTTTGTATTCAGTGTTCAAGAGAGCAAAGCACAGGTCAGAAGAACTCATACCCCCTAAGCTGAAGGCACTGTCAGCTCAAAGCCTTGCTGGGTCTGGCTACTTGAGATTCCTATGAAACACCTCCATTACTCAATGTCCCATTTCACTTTGTTGTGCTGTTCAGTTTCTAATCTGCTACTGGTCTAGAAACCAGGTAGCAAATAGCCTGGATGACTGGCAGAGCATGGTCATTTCTGAAGGCAGTGACAAGGCAAAGCTGTGCTAGCTCTGTATGGACTGGCTGTTCAGGCAGGGCAGAAGCTGTGAGAAGGTAACAGGGAAGTTACTGCAATAAATTTGTCCTGCTCTTGACCCTTTTGTCTAAGGTTTCATTACTGACCATGGCAGGAGGTGGCATACTGACTGAGCTGAGCATCCTTTGCTTCAGACCCACTGTGTCTGTTCATTTCCAGAACACGTGTAAGAGAAGGGTTAAGCAAAAAAATAACAAGATTAACTAGGTGGAAAACAAGATTTCTTGATAGATGTCAACTGGCAGTAGAGCAAGGATGCTCAGAGCACTGCTGAACTGTCTGCCCAGGCTGGATATGATGGGGTAGAAATATTGTATATAAGCACCTTGGTGTTTTGGCCAAAGAAATGCTGATGTCTGGAGGAGAAACTTTGCCAACCTGCACTCCATCAGTGCAGAGACCCCCAAGGCAGCCATAGCAGAACCAGCACCAGAGTATGTGAAAGCCCACCCTTGTAGCTCTCTGCATCTCCCCCACCCCTGGGTCAGCCACAGCTGTCCTAGTTTGCAGAGCCAAGCTCATGTTCCTTGGAGCTGGCACAGGGTCTCCAAGAGCTGCATGCTGTGGTATAAAGGTAGCCTAGCACCATAATTACAAAATGAATTTTTCGTTGTGTTTTAATAAGGGCAGTTACAGCAGCCTAAATGTGGAGCCCATTCCATTGCGATTGTTATCCAGAGCAGTTTAACCTCTCATTTTTCTCAGCCTTTTAAGAAGTGTGAATAAGGAGGTACTTGAATGCTTGTGCTTTTAAGGAAGTGCATTGTCTTTTTACAGTAGCCAATCTACAGTTAAAGTGGCACTGAGATTTTTAGGGAGCTAATATGGTTTCTTGATGTTTAGGCATGATAAAACATCACAGAAATTGCAGTTCAAGCAGTCATGCTAATTTCTGCTCCACTGGAAACACAGTGTATGTGACATTTACTAGGCAGACATATGGAAAAAGCAAAGTAAAACGAAGTGTTGTGTGACTGAACATTAAAATAAGGAAATGTGAAGATGAGGAATGGGAAAAAGAATTTTAAGATCTCTGGCAAGGAAATCTTCATAGTAGTATAGTTCCACACAGGATATTTAAACCTGAAATGTAAATTCACCTGAAACTTACTTTACTCTAGGGCCGTAAGCCATTTAATCATGGAAACAAAACAGAAAAAGAGAGAAAAAGGCAGATGTAGTAAGAGAAAGGAGACAATGGGAATAGACAAGTCCCTCTGCCATCTGGGCTAAGATTCAATAAAGCATATAAGCAAAGAGCTATGTGTGATATAACTCTTTATCTACCCCAGGATATTTTTCAGTGAAAATAGAACTATTTCATTTTCACCTAAATATTTATGTGGTATTTTTAAATAGGAAAACATGAAAATCATAGTTTTTGATGAATCTGAAAACCTTCAACAAAATATTTAAAGCAATTTCTAATACAATTTTCATCTGAGGTTGTGTCCTGGTAAAGTGTTCAAGGATCTCCCTGAAGCTGAGTTATGAAGCGTATGAATAGCTCTGCTCATGTCTCAATGGAAATGCTCCCTTGAGTCATGCAGCACATGTGCTTTGAGTGTTTTCAGCATAAGAGACTCAAATGTTATCCTGAATTTTTTGTAAGTAAGCAACTTTTTGTTCCAAATGGTGCTGCTGTATTTTGTGCAAGAAGTAGACTGATGTGCTTGTAGATGTGTAGACACGATCACTTACGAGCTGCATAATGACCTTGATGTGTTTTGCAACATCATGTGCTCTCTGAAGGTAGCCAACAGTTGGTCCATTTATACTTCTGATCTGTTTATGAAATATTTTGACTCAAAAATGCTACTGATATTTCACAGTGAAATCTGAGGAAGTTGTGTCTTCATTCCTGAGTGGACTTTGAGAAAAGGCAGGATCCTGATTGTCTGTTGCCTCTGCTTTCTCCAAGCTGATTTGGATGGAGGCTCAGAGAATGTTTTCAAGTATTCATACAGTTAACGTCTAGAAATGTCAAATGTGAACTCCAAACCATTCATGTTTGGTTTTTGCTGTATTTCAGGTCAGTCATGGCAGAACAAGCAGTTCAGTGTATAAAATGATCCAAACCTCATCTGTAGACACACACACCATTCTAACCATCATACTCATCTCTCTGTGTTTTGTAGCTGTACTTAGACACGAGTTGGTTGCTAAAGTATCAATAGGCATAAGATTCCTTTCTGGAGTATTCAAATTGGTGCAATTGGAATTGCTTTGAAACTATGTTCATATAAACCCTTTCCTGTGCTTTTCACTTTGCTGAGGGCATTTTTCCTGGCTGCTTTAGAGGAGCAACCTACCTTCTATTTACCCTTTTTCAGCTGCTGCTTTGCTTTGGACATCTTTTACCCTCAGTGCTTATTAACCTCTAATCCTGCCCTGCATTGCATCTGTCTGTTCTCCCAGATCCAGAATCTAAGGAAAGAGAAGTTACCCGTCGCTTTTCCCTTGCCTCCTCCATCAGCACCACAGTTAATGCTTCTGCTGTGACCAAAGGTACCGTCATGCTGCTTGCTTAGCTACCCTTCTCCTTTCCTGCTGACACATTTACTGCCAAATGCTGTTCACAGAGTGAGTACATCAGGCTCAATTTTTTATAAATGCAGGAAGTTCCAGTAGAAGAGTCAGTTCCAGCATAAGCTCTGCAGAAAGGCAGGCTGAGGCATTTTGAATGTATATAGAGGTGAGCTGCCAGCATATATGGTGACTCCTCCCAGTTTCTCCATAATAGACTTCACAGAGTGGTGCTGGTTTCCATGGGAAATGGATTGATTTTTACTTGATGTGGGATTAGGTTTCCAACTTCTTACTCATTTGTTTTAACTGAAATTCAATAGAAATTATTTCTCCATTTCCTTAAAGCTGTTTAGGAATTTTGCTTTCAAGGAGAGAATCATTGCACAGCAGACATCAGATGGTTAGAAAGCCAAAATGGAGTAGCAATAGCTGCCATTGTTGAGTATATTTATAATAATCAAAATTTGTATTTGCAATTATGATTGCAAGGAAATTGTCAGACATGTAGGGGAGAGAGGTGCCCAGAATGCATTGAACTCTACGCAGTTCTGGAAGTTTTATTTTTGAGCTGTAATTCTTTTGAGAAAAGGCACTTTTACAAAATTTACTGGAAGCTACTGAATTAGTGTCTACACTTCAACTCAAAAGCAACCCATGTATTTGGGCAGGTTGGCTGTGTTGAAAATCAGAAAGATTGTAGGCACCTATGCTTGCATGTCACAGTTTCTGTTGAGAACAGAACAGGTGGCCTTACATGGAGGTCTGAATGTTCTGTCTTCTGGCAGTTCCTGCAATGGAGGAGCTTATTTGCAGGGCAATTCACAAACCATAATAGAAGGAAAGATGGCAGAATTCATTTGTATAAACATTTTTTTTTGACAGGGAGAAGGTTGCACAGTATTTAGTGCATTCTAAATAGTTGTGAAGGATATGAACTGTGCAATGAAACTGTCATGAAATGAGTGTGGTGAGGTTTATTGGCAGAGGAAGGATGTGAGACATCCTTCCTATAAATGTTTCCTTGCCAACCTCTACAGACAGTAATATGAAAATATCACCACCTGGCAATGATGGGCATACCACAGGTGAAGAGGTTCATAAAGATTTCTGTCCTCAGCAGCAGCTTCAGAAATACATTATCAGTTTCTATGTTATGGGAAGACTGAATTATTTTCTATTTATTTCCTAAACTGGGGAATAGAAAGCAGCATGGATGTAGAAAGTGAATGGGTGACCAAGGTTTGTTCTTCAGTGTGGCTTATGGAAGAGAGTGTGAATTACAGTGAAATTTAACTTTATTACAGTTTCATGTAAAAAAAAAAAAAAATCCTGTCCTGGGATCCTGTGCATCATAAGACTCTTGGGAATTTTTTGGAATGCTGAGAAAACTGCTTTCGTAATGATTTTGAAAGCTAGAAATCAGTGCTTTTCAATTGAATGCTTTATTTACAGCATCTGCTTTAAGAAAATATTTCAGGTGATAGAAGAAGTGAAGCCTGAGTCTTGTCTCAGCATTAGCCAAATGCAGGTCTAGCCAGGGTGTGTGGATCATCCCAGTGAAGGCACTCAAAGCACACTGCTGGGTGCTGCTCCTCACTGCTCACAGCTCAGCTCCTCCACATCACCAGTGCTCCACTTGTGGGGTCAGGGCACAGGAGAAGCACTGTGTATGGACCTGTGATGGATGCCCTTCGCTTCCGTGGGGCGTAGTGTTGGGTTTTGTAGGCTCTTCCCTGCCAGCCGTGTGGGTGGGAAGATGATGGTGAGTCTGCCTGCGGAAGTGCCACCTGCTGGGCAGGAGGGAGGCAAAACATCTGTGAAACCTGATGGGGGAAGCAGATGCAGTTACTATGTCTTATGTCTTTTGCAAAGAGGGCTCTGTTTCCTATCCATATCACAGAAGTGTTTATCTTCACCACTTGGAATTTAGAGGTTGGTCATTCTTCTGGGTGAAATGGAAAGTATTAGGCAGGTAGTGTTTCCAGGTAATGGAAAAGCAAGTTTATGTTTTAACAGTATTTACAGACTTGTGACTCTGCAAACTTCACACAGGTCCCCTTGTTCCTGCAGTTAAAGTCAAGAGACATGAAATAAAGAGTGACCCAACTCCCCTGGGGTTTGAAGGTATGAGTATTTTGATCCTGCATGGAAACCTGTTTGGCAATTTTTCTATATTATTCACTGAATTCACATCTCATCCCTGCTGGCAGGTGACACTGGAGTTGTTTAGGGGCTTGGTGTCAGTTTATCTGTTTAAGTGTAACAAACACAGCTTGTCGTCCCCTTGCCTGTCCCCTGCACTCATGTTATATTTACCAACTTTCACCTAGGGATGGCCCTAAATGAAACCCCTAATTCTCTGCCTGTTTTTGGAAGTAATGTTCTAGACTGTGATCTGGATTTGGCTTTTCTGCCTGGCTTCCACCCCACTCCACAGAGTGCAGAAGCAGGGACCCAAGGCATCACTTTTCCCCTTCACCTGCAGTCTGGCCATTTGCATCCTTCTTTCCTTATTAGTGTCTTTGTCTAATAAGAGCAGCAGGAGCCACCTGCATGAAGGCTACAGAAGAGGCTAGACTGTGCATTACTCTTCATGTAAGGTGCAGTGTTTCATTTCAGCCAAGCAGAATTTCCACCTGTTTGTTGCAGCAGATTCATCCAGTTACTGTTTAACAAAATACCAAAGGGTTAATCAGGGAAGTTATTCCCCAGCCACTGGAAAGATCCCCAGCTTCCACTGTCATCTTTGCCCCTTTACATGAGCATTTGCCAAGGCATGTTGCCTTGTGGGGCACAAGCAGTCAGGTACCCCTGCTGCAGGACAGGGAGGAGAGAGATGTAAGCCAAGGAATCCTGTCTTAGGATTGTGTTGCTCTGTACAAAACTTTGGCAGAAAGGGCAGGTGGCCAGATCAGTGAGGGAACTGGAGACCTATCAGGGCTATCTCCTGTGTCACTCTCAGCAGGAGACTGGAACGGAGAGGCTGGAAGAAATAATTCAGAGACAGCAAAGGAAATAGTTTTCCTGTTTGCAGAGTATTTCCTTCTGCCAGTGATTCCTGATGTTTGGAATCATCCTGGTAGCCAGCACCAGAAAATCCCAAACTCTGCTTTTTATACCTCCCTCACTGACAGATACCTCTGAGCTCAACATGCCAGACGTCTGCAGGGGCATGGGAATTCCAAGGTATAAGTATTATCCATAGGATAGAGCTGAGTTAATCCTCAGTGGTTAAAAACATGGTCCTCCTGCACAACATCCCTCACCAGAATTAGTTCCTTTAATTAGGAAACAATGAACATTATAATCCCTTTACCAGAAGATTCTGCTGCTGTTGCCAGGGCTCTAGCAGAGTTAATAATGCAAAGGGTTTAATGTACTTAGATAAAAACTTCCCCCTGCAAAACTGTGTTGCATTCATCAAGAATGAATTAATTTCTGGCTGGGAAGAAGAGCCTCCCTGGTCCCCTTTCATTGCTGTATGGATGGGCATCAAAGCCATATACCATCACCTTTAGAATTATTTGAAATGCTGCAAGGAAAATATGTTCAAAATGGGTAAGGAAACTGTAGCAAAATAGAACACTGCACTGGCTGCCCTGCAATCCTTTTCCTTAATTAACATCAGTATTTCTGTTTGATTCATTTGGCTGTTCTCTGTCCTTCTCAGACTTACAGTTTTTCTATGGAATGCTGCTGTCTTTTCACTCATTTGTGCTGGTCGTGTGTCTCCTCTTTTATAACTGTTGGACCCCAGTCCACCTGTTTGTTAAAGAGACTTCCAGTTGCAGAGGTGATACAGGAATTCACTTTGTACTGGTTGTCTGGTCACTATTTCACCTTGAAGACACAAACTGTACTTCCTATCACAGATGCTTTTGAGAACACCATATTGGCCCAGACTAAATGTAATGCCGGTTCCACCATGAGACCTGTACCTAGATCTGCCTCACAGACAGGTAAACAAAATTAAACCATATATCATCTCAGTTTGAGAGTGTAATGTAAATTTCTGATAACATTTATTCTCTTTAGCTTAAAGAGATTTTTATCTTTTTTAAATGAACATTATTTCCCATGAAAGCAATGAAAGAACAAGCTTGGATCACTAGCAGGTAGAGAAACAATGTCCCAGATCCTGGTTTTCTGTAGGTCAGGCACAGCTGAAAATATTTTTTAATAGATGTCAGAGAGCTCATAATTTGACCTGTGTGTTTTTATAGCTTGAATGAAGTCTGTAAAGCTTAGGTTATTTCTTAGTCTCTGAAATTAGAATAGCAGTTTGTATGGAAGAGGAAGGCTGATGCATGTATGTATAAGGAATCTGTGCTGTTTAGATTTCTGCCCTGGATGCTTTCTAAAAATAAAAGTGGCAAAATATCACTGCAGCTTTGTCTAAGGGGGAAGAGGGTTATCTTTTTTTGTTTGGTGCTTGTAGCCCAGCCTGTGAGTTTGAACTGAAATTGCTGTAGCAGTTTGAAACTAATTAGCATAAACGTATTATTATACATTTAGACAGTTGCTAGTGTTTTGCTGGTGTGATTCATCTGATGCAGAATATGGAGTTCAATTCTATATCCTGCCTGGTCTGCAATTGAAATTGTGTCTTATGTCTCAAATACCTGTTGGTGTAGGACTAGGCAAGGACACTCACAGCCCAACACAACACTTGAACACACAATTCAGAGGCTGGTTTACACCTTGAAAAGTAAGGATGACCTTATGGCTCTGGTTCTAACCTTAACCATAGCGGTAGGGCTGTAACTGAGGATGCTGCTCATTTTGAGTGAAAATCATGCAGTAAGACTGCCAACAGCAGAAATATTTGTGAGATCTCCTCTACCTACCACTGAAGTCTGGATGTTTTTGTACCTTGTTTACTCTGTCCCTTCCCTGCACTTCCAGCCTGCTCCAGTTTATAGTCTTGTAAGTTGCTCAGGTGCTAATATTACCTTGGGGTGAGATGGAGATAAGAAGACAACCAATATTAAATTACTTTGGACTTCAATTTCTAGATAAACCTGTGGAGGTAAGCTGGATGCTGAATGAGCATGGCCTTCTGACAGTCATCACCAAAAGTTAACCTTTGCTACAGTGCTTGTGCTGCAGAAATGTTCCTGGTCCTTGCTTTCTGAACCTTCTGAAATGAAGGGATTTAGGAATGCTAAACTCTCAAGGTATTGATGAGCATGCACACTGTGGCCACACAGTCTGCTCTCCTACAAATGACAACAAGCAGTACAGGTTTTTAGACACACAGATTAATGGCTGCTATGTAATTTTTGGCACAATCAGGAAACAAGTTGCAAAAAGATACATGCAATTCAGTAGGTGGAATAGTGGGAAGTGAACTGTGACATGGATTTTTAAAAGACTGAGTCTGAATGAGGCTAATGGCTGATAGCTAACTCTTTTGGTTTTATCTCCTTTGAAAAGGTTGGCCCAGCAGGCAAATGCCATCTCTAGACACATTTGAGGATTTTGAAGCCATCCCCTCCAGCACAGATGAACTCTCCAACTCTTCTGACTTGGAAGAAGAGACCAACCCTAACAATGTAATTCCTTTCACAACTTACACTGCCCTTTCCCAAGGCCATGATTTAACCTGCAAAGTTTTGGTTCATACCACCTTTAAATTCATGGATGGGTGGGAATACAGAAGATGGGAATTTGATTTGGGTATTAGGAGATTATTGCAAGACTCTTTTGTTGACCAGGACCATAAAAAGTCACCCCTACCTGTAAGCTGTAGCTTTACCTGTTACAAAATTGCAGGAAAACTCAGCCTTTAAAAAACTTTTAATTGCAGGTTTTTCCAGATAACTTAACCTGGTGTCACCAACCCAATTCCTATGTCAGAATCATGGCTGGTTGGTTAATTCTAAAGCCTGAATGCACAGCAGAGTGCTGTCCTAAGTTTGAGTGATATTTAAACTGGGCATGATAAAAGGAACAATTCCCTTCAGCAAAAGTTTCTGCCAGCTTGAATTGCCTAAATCAGTATTTAACTAAACTTGCTCTCTCTCACACAGTGTTCTTTCATCCATACTGACTGTATTTCTGGTGCATTGTTTTGTTTTTAGGGGACTAATCTTTTTCGGGTAGAAGGCAGTTTTGACAGCTGCTTCCCAGATTCTTTCACACTTGAGGATGGAGATTTAGTGCAGTTTGTACAGGAAGGAGAGAACGGTCAATGGTAAGTACAGCAGATAGACAGAATTTGACAGCTCTGAATTTGTCCCAGGGTCTCAGACACAGGCCAAGGTCACTGCTTCCTTGTCACACAGTCTGCTTGGAAGTGAATTTTATCTGGGATATTGGGTCACCATCTGAGTCTGGAGAAACTTAGCCACTGGCTACCTGTGGGACTGCCCTGGATGCCCTACCTTCTTCCATAGTTTAGGAAATAGCTGCCTAACATGCAGCTCTAAAGACAGAACCCAGGGAAGGAGAATGTAGGGAAATTCACTAACTGTTCTCTGAATTTCAGGTTAGTGAAGAAACTGGTTTCTGAGAAAAGTGACTGGGTTCCTTCCAGTATATTGCAGCCAGCAGAGGGGGACAGTAACAACATAATTAAGAACAATAATGCAGGTAATAGAGAAAATGTATTATTGGCATTTAATTTTTTATTTTATTTTTTTTTTTTAACTACTAGAAAAGGATGTGATAAAAAAGGCTGTGGTAGACAGTGCACTTCCTGTATCAAAACACTCAGCCTGAATGCATGTTTGTGTTGCAGCCTCTGGTGAAGCAGCTGAGCCAGCCTGGAATGTGCTGCTGTGGGTGTCAGAGCTAGTTGGGCACACTGACTTACCTTGACATGCTTTAATTGCTTTCCCCTTCCTGGGCAGAACTTGAATCTCTCAGCCAACTCCTGTGGCTGCCAGTACCCAGGCTGGCTACTGAAGGGTAGCTTTCATCCTGACATGGGTAGTGTTGGGATTGAGATCAGCATCAGGGATGTGGTTCTGGTCTAGGTTTGAAAACATGCCAGTCTCATGAACCTTTCCTGCTTTCATCGAATTTCACTGCTGGCTGCAAAGGCTGGAGGAGGGGCTGCTCTGGCAACAGTTCAGTCAAATCAGCACTAGAAGTCATCCTTTCTTCAGCTTTGGTTCTGACCTAGCACCCAAATAGGTTTCACTGGAAAACCTGAATCCCACCAGTGCTGCAGATCAAAGGTTTAAAATTTTAGATTAATTTTTGCCTATTCTGAAATGTAAATTACAAAAGAGGTGTCCTGCTATTCTTCTGGTAACAGAAGAAAGCAACAATTTGGCACAGCCATTCCCTGGACACCTGTGTTAGAGAGCTACCAGCACTTTACTCTGAGTTACTGGTTCTTTTTGGTCAGTTTGTTAAAGTGGAGAAAAACCTTTTGGAAAGTTTTCCAGGATTCTTTCATGTGGTTTAAGGGGAGTTTGGTAATTGCAGCTCCTTCACCTCCACAACAGCTCTCTTGTGGAAATCTTCACCTTCTCTGCCTAGCTATGGCTCTCATTTTTTGGCACGTCTAATGCTTCAAAAGAAAAATAAAGCCACACACACATCACAGTTAGTTACATGCCAAAAGAGCCTTTAGTGAAGGAATTAGAAGAGCAGTAGAATTGTGATTATTTTATCTTATGCTTTTAACAATCATCTTCAAGACTGTATATTGGAAATCCTTTTGACTTATTATAGTGACAATGCCCATGTCCTCCTTTGCAGACACGTACAATGATTCCTGCAGTATGGCCTCAGTAGAGTCAGACACCAAGGAGAGTGAGGTGGCCAAAAGCTTCCCAGCAGAACAGAGGGCTGGCAGCTGAACAGCAGGACCAGCTTTCCTCAGGACCCCATCCATCTCTGTTTATTTTGGGTGGACAGTGGATCAAAGTTGCCTTTCTCACAAGCTCTGAGGTTCATAATTCACTAAAACTTTATCAGCATGAACAGATGAAAACTGTGCTGTCCACCTGGCAAGCTGGGAAAAAAACCAACTTGAAAGGTGCATTAAACATCCAGAAAGCATCAAAACCCACCTTCAGTAGTAAAGGAGAAAAATGCTTCTTGCATTGATTATCGAACTGTTTCAGAAGATGTGGCCTAAATTAGGTCAACAGCAGAGCTGAAGAGTTACTATGCACGCACCTTTGGGCAACTTCGCTTGAACACCAAGTTACTGCAGAGGGACACAGGCATGGTTACAAGCTCCTGCTCTACCAAGAGGTCTCCTGGAGATTCTTCCATTTGCTTGCCTCTGGCTGTGCCTTCCCCATCTTTTTTTCCAGCTGATACATCACAAAGGTGCCCTTTTTGTTGATGGTCGACACCAAAACCATCCCATTTTAAGGCGGCTGTGGAAAGGAAACTTCTGCCTTAGGCCATCAGAGAAGCTTCACGCCGCGATGACGGGACTGTTTGGCAGTGGCACGGTGCACCCCCTGCAGCCTACAGCATTCTGCTGGAATGGTGCAGAAGGCAGCTCCTGGCTGTGAGGTGGAGGTGCAGGGCTTGGCAGGCAAGCAAAGACGTGTGTGACAGCTACTGTGACAAAGAACATTTTGAACTCTTTTTACAAGTCATTCCTCCACCTCCTCTGCAGTCTGTGGTTGCTGGATCACGATCCTTTGTATTTGGTGCCAAGAATTCAATTGAGTACCATTTAATGTCATATGTTTGAGTAGACTGCATGCTTTCTTTGTGTGCTGGGCTATGGAGTAGACACATTTCATCCCCCATTTGGAATATAATTAGGCATTGCAAATAGGCAGTGAGCATTAGGTGCTCCAATGAGTGGAAAAAGTGTTGTTGTTAGATACATCTTTCCAGGACGTTTGATTAAAGGACTGTACCAAATCTCTGCCACTTAAGGACATGATGTATAATACAAAGTGAGGGCAGATGTTATTCCTACAGAAGCCATTAGCTCCTTCAGAGCAGCTGTTAAGGCATGAAGGCTTTTTTATGGTAATTGGGCCAGAAGTCCCATAAAAGCTGCTGATACTTTAGTGAAGATATGTGCTGACTGAGTGTTGCAAACAGGCAAAGATCAGCGTGGTAAAAATGACCCTAGAAGCTCAAGAATGAGTGACTGGCTATTTTACTTACCTTAGAGACTAGTGGTGCTCTATTTAAATAACAAAGGGGACAAAACACTAAAAATGGAGACAAAGCTAAACCAAAACCCCCTCTTTAGTGACTGAGCCACTGAGCAAAATAGTAGGAGCATTTCTGCTGTCATCTTTGCAGGAACCCTGATGTTTTTCTTTGTGTCTCAGTGAAGGATGACATTGCAGATATCTTAGTGTGTGAGTTAGGGTAGCTGAGAAGGTAGAGAAGCAGGTAGATAGTCACATTCAAGAAAAAGCTTTGGAGTAGGTAAAGGCTTATTCTGATTTTATTTGCCTGTGAAGGCTTATTGGTTAATGAGTTGCACTGTGCTGGTGAATCCTCATGGTTCTTTTAGCCCTCAGTATCTAAACTCAGTGATTTCTGACATTTGCTGTTTATGACTAAAGGACCTGAGGGTCCTGTATCTTTTTGGACGCTACTTTTGTCCAACAGAGATAGGAGCTTGTCTGTTTTGTGCTAGTCACTTACCTTAAAAATGACACATAGGCTGTCAGGGACATGAATCCTGTCAGTCTACTGCAGTTATAAGCATCTTGAGGGAAGAACTGATTTCTATGAGTCCCCTAAAGAAATATGCAGTGATGTTTTCTTGTAGTGCAATTATTTTACCTTCTGCCTAAAATGAGTTTATTTTGATTTCTGTATTACTTTCAGTAATTTTTGCACAGCCTGATAGTAGTGCTTCTGTCTACCTAAGCATAGCGGAAGAAAGGGGTAGGAAGCTTTGATTGCACATTAGTACATACAGTAAGCTTGTGTGTGTGTGAGGAAAGAGACAGGGAAGGGTTACCTGGGTATATGAAACTGCCAAAGCCTGGATTGGTGACGTTGCTGACTGATGGAAAGATGGAAACCTCACTTCAGAGTTTCTTTGTAGGAATCTCATTCTAATGGTGAAATGGAAGTGGGAAGTATCTGTTTGAACTGAAGATGGATAATCAGGTATTGTCAATCCATTTCCTACCTCTGCTGTGTGCAGGGTGACAGTGCTAATCCTGTATCCCCTGGTGCCTCAATATCTCCCTGTAAACTGGGAGCTATTGGATTTCCCAAATGTCAAATTCTGATGATAAATTTTAGCATGTATGCAAAGATTGGAGACCCTCCAGGGGAGAGCAAAGTATTCAGGCCCCTATGCTCCCCATGAGTGTCAGTGGTGGTATCCTGTGGGGCAGTCCAGAGCTGGAGTAAGGAAGTTGATTTCTGCATAAGTGTCTTCTCCAGCTCACCATCACATCATGACAGCTGCAAAGGTATGGGCTGGATTGTAACCATTCTTCTCCCTACTTTGCCTTTGTAAACAATTATTTACTTTTTTCCCCCTCAAAATCTCATGTTTTATCCTGTGGAACCAAAGTTTGAGTCACTCCTGCACCATGAATATCTTGAGGATGACAAGTAACTCGCTGCCCCATGGCTGCATGCAGCAGTGGCACAGCACTTGGGCACAGCAGCCTTTGGGAGCTGATTGTATCACAGATGTCCTCAGACACTGCTG